TACATTACATTACATTACATTACATTACATTACCTATCATACCATGGCACGATCTATAGACTGTGCCACGGCTCTTCACACAATATTGTAATTAACTTCTGTCTCGGTCCTAACTATTACACGATGACCCTTCTTTGTAATTTTTTAATGGTCTACAGATCTATAGTAGGAACGAGCGGATTATGAGGCATGCAGGATGAAAGTGATCCCAAAGCCAAGCAAGCATTGAGTAAGCATGTCTGTAAAGTTATGTATGGTCCTATATCTTGTCATTGTACTGTAGCTAAGGATGGTCTCTATCATAATAGAGCACGACCTGTCGACCACTCAGACATTTACATCATGTGGATGTTTATTATTAGCCACGGCCTGGGTTTGGTGTTTGTGCATACAATATATATGCACAATATGCACAAACACCAAACCCTGTACGTGGCTAATAATAAACATCCACGGACTGGGTTTGGTGTTTGTGCATACAATATATATGCACAATATGCACAAACACCAAACCCTGTACCCTACGAACGCGGAGGGGGGTTAAGAACGTTCTTAAGTCGTTCTTAGCCCAGCCAAATTGATAAAATTGAATAATCATTAGAACGTTCTTACACTGCTCTAAGAACGTTCTAAGAACGTTCGTATGACCTCCGTTTATCTTAAAACCGTTCTTTCAAATTCTTAAGCATTCTTCAGGCCCCAGCAGTCTTACGTATTCTCTTCCATTCTTTGGGGTGTTCTTATACGTTCTTAGGCCAACTTATTGATTCTTTGTCTAAAGCATACTAAGCTGCTCTTTGGCCGGTTTTAACCGTTCTTACCATAGGTTCGCTAAGTATGGCACTCATTCTTAAGTCATATTCTCAGGAAATTCTTTTTGCTGCTTACATTCTTAAGCCTTAAAAATGTGGGATTCTTAAGGGGTGGTCATGATGAAAAAGCCATTCAGTCACATGTAACGACCTCTGCTTTCTCACCTATACTTCTGTTGATAATCGCCCTTTCCTGATATCTGCAGACCACTTGGGAAATCTTATATTAATTCTTTCAAATTGTGTGTTTTCCGCTAGGATCGAACCAAAGACTACGAACCTTTTGTGCTGAATTCTATCACTAAACCTATGCTTTTAGAAAAGACAACCTTAAGATGCTAAGGTTCCGCAAGACACCTGTATCTTCTATGCTGAAACGTGTGCGTATACTGTGAGCTGCGCCAAGTGCCGTACACGAACATATGTGCGTGTACGACAAACAACTCAACACCTGTTCAGCAACTCAACTATCAGCCCTGGCCCCTGTACAAAAAACTGGCGTGCAGCCTGGCATGGCCACATACCTGCTGCAGTCCACTGCCCAACACCATCCCTGGCTGCTGCAGCTGCATGAAAAACAAGAGGCGCCCCGAGGCCACTGCCATGTTTAGCTGAATCCAAATGGAAGCATCCTTGCTTGCAATGGAGAGGCTGGCCGACTCATGTGTTTTCTACAAGCCCCCACAAGAAGAGTTTGGGGCTACTGAAACTGTAGCAGTCGCTCACCTGGGTGGACGACTGGCTTTGCGGAAGCGTGGAATTTAGAGTCCTTGCTGAGGCAGGAAGAAGTCCAACCCAGCGATAAGCACTAGCATACATAGACCCGTACGAAACAATCTGAGATGGCGGCAGCGGAGTCTTGAACTCTGAACACCAAGTAGTCGTGATACTTAAGTGCCTCACCATAGCACCCCACCCAGGTAGCTTACATCTCGGCCTACCTGCCGGAGATTCCCTACTACGTTCCTGCCGTGCTAGGATACTGTCGGTGTATCCTCCGGTGGCAGGGTGGTACAGGAGGGTACCCTCCGGTGGCAGGGTGGTACAGGAGGGTATCCTCTGGTGGCAGGGTGGTACAGGAGGGTACCCTCCGGTGGCAAGGTGTTACAGGAGGGTATCCTCCGGTGGCAGGTTGGTACAGGAGGGTACCCTCCGGTGGCAGGGTGGTACG